TGCCCCTCCATCATCACCATCTCAGCCAAATCCTACTCTATCCTCACCGTGGTCCCTAATGAGGACCACCCGATTCCCCTGGTCCGTTCCACGAGCGTCCCGCCTGCGCCATTCCGCTGACGCTCGGGTGGCCCAGGGGCCTCGACGCCCACTTCGATGACGCCCCCTCCCATTAGCACGTGATTAGGGGCGTCCTAAGCTTCCAAAACACACCTCGCAGCCTTCTCGGGCAACGCGCGCGCGTCCCGACGCAGGCTGCGGACTTCTGCGCGCGGCCAGCGGGCGCCGCGCAGCTCGGGACGCGGCCAGACGGCGCCGCGCTGCTCGGGATCTCGGGACGCGGCCCGACGGCGACGGCCCTCAGAGTCTTCGCCTCGGACGACTGGCACTTCGCTCTTGCCACACATTCTCGCCGGCGCCCGCCGCCGCCGCCCGCGCCGCGACAGCCGACCGCGAGGCTCGAGCTGGCCTCGCCGCGAGCATGAGCGCGCCCATGGACACCGCCGGGGCGGACGCCATGGACCCGGCCGCGCTCCACGCGGCGCTCGCGCGCTTCGACGCGGCCTGCGCCAAGGTCGAGGGCGCCCTCGAGGAGCTCGGCGGCGGCCCGAGCGGCGACGCCTACAAGCGGGCCTGCACGACGGGCGTGCGCGCCTTCATGGACGTCAAGGAGGCGTCGCGCAAGTCCTACCTCGAGATCTCGAAGATCCAGGCCGTCGTCGGCGAGCGGCGCAAGGTGCTCGACGACCAGCACCTGCAGCTGCAGAACTTCCAGTACCGCGAGTTCCGCCTGAGCGAGGAGGTCAAGCTCTGCCGCGAATTCACGTGCGGCCAGCTCGAGCGCATCGAGGCCGACGAGGGCGCGTCCATGGCGCGGTTCCTCGGCGGCGGCGCCGTCGACGGCGCGGAGCACGCCGAGCGGCTCGGCCTGCTCCAGGCGGAGCTCGAGGCGCGGCGGCGGCTCCTCGCGGAGCGGGAAGGCCTGGAGACGACGCGCGCGACGATGGAGGCCGACGGCAAGCGGCGGCGGGCGTTCCTGCGCGACCTCCCCGAGCGCCTCACGGCCGTCAAGGACGCGAGCCGCCCGCTCCTTCCGTTACTGGAGCAGCGGGGCCGGAAGCGGCGGCCGGGCGACGATTTGTTGGGCCGGCTCCCGCGGCCGCTCGCGCTCATCCACGGCCAGCTCGCGGGCCTCATCGCCGCGGGCGCGCTCGACGCCGGGAGCGCGCTGGAGGTCGAGGGCGCGGGCGACGACGACGACGCCGCGGGGCCCGCGGACGACTACGGCGGCGTCCGCGTCGCCGCGTCGCCCGGGGCCGTCGTCGTGAACGTCGACGGCGTCCGCGTCGCCTTCCGCACGGTGCCCGCGCTCGCGGACCTCGTGGTCGTGACCCCGGCCGACGAGTCGCTCGTCGACCTCTTCCCGGGCGACGCCGGCGACGACGTCGGCGCCGAGGCCTGCGCGCAGGCCGCGCTCGCGCTCGGCGTCAAGCCCGGCGCGCCGTTCCCCTACGCGGCCCTCGGCCGGCCCTTCGCCTGGGCGCAGTGGCTCGGGGGTCTAGCGCCCGGCCCCCTGGCCCCCGGCAAGCTCGCGCCGTCGTCGCGCCTCGTCGTCGCGCGCCTCCGCGCGCGCGTTGCGGCCGCGAAGGCGCTCGACGCGCAGCTCGCGGCGCTGGCCAAGCGGCCCTGCCCGACGGCGCTGCCCTGCTACGACGACGCGTGGCGCGCGAAAATCGCGCCGTCCAAGGCCGCCGTCCCGCCCGCGGAGCTCCGGTCCTGGGCGCCCTACGCCCCCGACCGCGACCCCTTCGCGTCGTCCGCGGCGGCCGCGCTCGAGGACGCGCCGCCGCACCGGTCCTACTACAAGGCGACCTTCGTCCACGCGCCGTCGAAGGCCGCCTTCGCCGCGACCGTCGAGCTCTCGCCCGAATACCCCTTCCGCGCGCCGCGGTGGCTCCTCCAGCGCCGCGACGGCGGCGACGCCGCGCCCCACGACCCGCGGCTCAAGGACGCCGAGCGCGAGCTCAACGCGCGCTACGACGAGCTCGTCGACTTCGAAGACGCGAGCCGCGGCCACCTCCTCGCCCACCAGCTCTGCCGCCTCGCGAACATGCTCGCGGTCCTCGGCGGCGGCGACGGCGACGGCCCCACGTTCGGCCGCACGCACCGCGGCCGCGACCGCAAGAAGCCCCTCGCCTACGACCCCCGCGCGCGCGCCAACGCGCACCGCGTCGATTAAAAGGCCCTCGCCGCCTGGGTTCGACTTCAAAAAGAGCGGCGCTCTTAGAAGGTCACGTCCCGCCGCGCGCACGCCGGGGGCAGCTGGTTCTTCAGGCGCGTCCTTCGGCCGCCCGGCTTCCCCGGCGGCGGCGCCTTGGCGAGGCCGAGGACGAGGTTGTCCGTCGCGACGAGGACCTGGCCGGAGACGCCCAATTCCGGGACCTCGACGTCGTCGCCCCGCAGGTACGCCGCCGCCGCGGCCTCGTCGACGACGACGCGCCGCGGCCCCGCGACGCGGCGGCCGAAGGTTGTGGCGAAATCGTGCGCGAGGCGCACGGCGCCGCCGGCGATGGCCCGCGCGAGCGCCGCGTCGCTCGCCGGCGCGCGGCCCCGGACCTTGAGCCCCTCGAGGAGCTTCGCGCCGACGCGGTTGTAGCGCAGGCCCGCGAGCGGCGGCGCCGCGGGCCGGTGCCAGAGCGCCGCGCCGTCGCGCTCGAGCGCCGCGCCGTCGATTTGAAGCCCCCAGCCCTCGAAGAAGGTTGCCGCGGCCGCGCGGAGGGCGGCGTCGCAGGCCGGGCGCGCCGCGCTAAGCGGCGCCGAAACGCCGGCCTTGCGCAGGCGCGCCGCGAAGAAGCCCGCGGTGTCCGCGTCCTGCGGCCACACCCTCAGGCACCCCGGCAAAAGCGCCGACGGCGCGCCCGAGTACACGTGCCCCAGGTCCTCGAGGGCCGCGTCCGGCGCCCTCGCGAGGAGCCCCGCGACGACTTCCTCGTCCTCCTCCGGCCGCAGGGAGCACGTCGAGTAGACGAGCGCGCCGCCCGGCCGCAGCGCGGCCCACGCGGCGTCCAAAAGGCGCGTTTGCGTCGCGACGATGGGGCCGAGGTCCTTGGGCTGCGCCGCGAGGTGCGCGCGCAGCGAGGTGCCGTCGCGCCGCGCCTGCGTGTCGCCCGAGCACGGCGCGTCCAGGAGTATCCCGTCGGCGGAACCGACCGCCGCGAGCGCGGCGCCGGCGTCGCCGTGCACAAAGGCGACGCGGTCGAGGACGCCCGCGCGCCGGCAGTTGGCGACGAGCGCGCCGAGGCGGCTCGAGCTCAGCTCGTTGGCGACGACGGCGGCGCCGCTGCGCGCGTCGCGGAGCGCCGCCGCGAGGTGCACCGTCTTGCCGCCGGGCGCGGCGCACGCGTCGACGACGACGGCCGCGGCCGCGGCGTCGAGCCCGTCGACGAGGCACGCGGCGGGCAGCATCGACGCCGCCTCCATGACGTAGAAGTCGCCCGCGACGTGCGCGGCGTCCTTGCCGAGCGGCGGCCCGCCGTCGACGAAGAAGCCCCGGCCCGCGGCCCAGGGCACGGCCGTCGCCGTGCGGTTCCGCGCCGCGGCGCCCGCGAGGAACGACGCCGCGGCGGCGGCGTCGACGCAGCGCAGGGAGGCGCGCAGGGGCCGCTCGGACGCGGCGGCGAAGGAAGCCCACCAGGCGTCGTCGCGCGCCTCGGGGAGCTGCGCCGCGAGGGCCGCGCGGTAGTCGTCGACGACGGAATTCAGGCGGCGGCCGCGCACGCGGGGCGCGCGCGCGCTGCGCAGCGCGACGGCGCCGGGCGCCAGCAGCAGGAGCGCGATCATCGGTGCGACCATTGGTGCGACCATTGGTGCGACCATTGGTGCGATCATCGGTGCTCTTCTCGCTGGGCTGCGGCGCCAGCGGCCATGAGATGCGGCCCCAGCTGAAAGAGACTGGCTTGACGGCATCAACGACCTCAAATGAGCCCATGGACCACGATGGAGGGCTCCTTGCATATTTGATGCGCCTCCTCCTCCTCGCGGCGAGCGCGTGCGCCATCGGCAAGCGCACGCAGATCAAGCGCGCGCGCCGGAGCGAGGCCGAGGCCAAGGCGCTGCCCCACTGCAACGCCACGGACCTCGCCCTGGGCCTGCCCGGCGGCGTGTGGCGGGCCGCGCCGGACCGGCGCGCCTCGGGCTTCGGCGCCGACGCGGCGCCCGGCGCGGCGCCGGACCAGTACGCGAAATCAGTGCACGACTTCGCGCCGGCGACCTGCCGGCTGCGGCGCTTCGACGCGCGCGACTTCGCGGGCCGCTGCGCCGCCGGCCGCCGCGTCGCGTTCCTCGGCGACAGCCTCGGCGAGCAGGTCTGGAAGGCCCTGCTCGGCCTCCTCGCGCACGGCGGCGCCCGCGCGGAGCGCGCCGCGTGCGGGCCGGGCTGCGCGGCCGACCGCTTCGCCGTCGCGGGCGCGCGCCTCGACGTGCTCGAGCGGTTCAAGGTCTCGCGCTTCGACGGCGCGGCGCTCGACGCCGTCGACGCCGCCGCGCGCTTCCGCGCGGGCGACGTCGTCCTGCTGAGCTTCGGCGCGCACTACCGCAACGCGTCGCACCTCGCGGCGGACGCCGCCGCGCTCGTGGCCTGGATCGCCGCGGGGCCGTCGCGGCGGCGCGCGACGTGGGTCTGGCGCGAGACGTCGCCGAGCCACTTCCCCGTGCCCAGCGGCGCCTACGAGGACATGGTCGCGTGCCCGGCGTGCCTCCGGTGGCCCCTGCGGTGCCGGCGGGCCCGGGACCTCGGCGCGCAGCGGTGGCGCGTGGCCGCGGCGGCGCCGGCGCTCGACGCCGCGGCCTTCGACCTGCGGACGCTGCCCCTCTGGGAGCTCCTCAAGGCCGCCTGGCGGGCCCACCCCGGCGCCGGCGCGCCGCTCCGCCTCGAGGAGGACTGCGGCGGCGACGCGGGCCGGCTCCGCGTCCGCGCGACGGCGTCCAAGGGCACCTGCGCGCTCGACTGCCTCCACCTCGCGCCGCGCTACAACCACCTCGCCGCGCGCCTCCTCTACCACGCCCTCTGCTTCGACGAGGCGGGGCGGCCGACGCCCCTAGGAGGCTAGCGCGACCCACACGGCGCCCGGCGCGGCGCCGCCGAGGCGCCGCCACGTGGCCTGCGCGTCCTCCGTGGCGCACGTCGCCGCGGCCCTGGCCGCGTCGAACCGCGGGCAGTCGCCGGGGGCGTAGGTCTCCCAGGCGGACGGCAGGAGCTTCGACTTGTTCGCCGAGAGGTAGCCCGTCAGGTTCACGGGCCGCCACCGCGCCGCGGCGGCGCCGGCGCGCCGGAAGTCGGCCGGGCTCTTCGCGTCCAGCTCGGCGAAGTGGGCCAGGAGGCCCTCGTGGCTCTGGAGGGCGCCGTCGCCGCCGCTCGGGCCCTTGAGCCCGCCGATCGTCGACTCGCCGCTGTGGCGGCGGACGCCGTGGACGGCGATCGCGTCGGGCTTCCTGCCCTGGCCGTCGCCGACGAAGCTCTGCTTCAGGAGCACCGTCGGCGTGCGCGCCATCCAGTTGAGGATGCCCAGGCCGACGTCGTGGGTCACCGTGAAGGCGTCGCACTCGTAGGTGAGGCCGTTCGCGTCGACCGCGAGGCGGAAGTTGTCCAGCGCGGCGCGCGAGAAGACCGCGGGCTGCATCCAGGGGAACTTGAAGGTGCACTGTGCGTTCGAGTCGCAGGCGGCGAGCTCCTTCCACATGCCCGGCGCGAAGCCCCGCAGCGACTTGCCCCCGGAGAAGGCCAGGGGCTCGCCCGGGGCGTAGGCCGCGAGGACCGCGAGGAGCGCGTTGACGCGGACGAACATGTCGTCGTCCTGGAAGACGTACCACTTCAGCTCCGGCTCGCGGTAGAGCGCCCAGCGCATGGACTCCTGGCAGCGGCAGCAGGGGCCCTTGGAGCCGTAGTACTCGTTCGAGCAGTTCTTGAAGCGGAGGATCTCGAACGCGCCGCCGCCGCACGACGACCGCTCGAGCGCGCCGCGGTCCGCGCGCTCGACGACGGCGCAGGTCAGCCAGCCGTCGCGCGTGGCGTGGCCCTCGGCCGCGAGCTTCGTCTCGCCCGCGCCCGCGCCGCCGAGCACGTACGTCAGCCTCGGCACGTAGCGGCCCCACGTCGCCGCGGACCCGTAGAGCCGCTCGTCGACGTAGTCGTAGAAGCCGCTGCCCTCCTTGTACTTGGCGTGCTTCGCCGTCGCGAGGACGTGGACGACGACGCCGCGCGCGTCGAGGCCGTCGACGGCGAGGGGGATCGTCGCGAGCTTCGCGTCGACGTCGCCGCGCTTCTCGCGCGCGACGTCCGACGCGCGGTGCGTGTCCTTGACCTTGCCCGCCGCGCACGCGAGCCACAGCGCCGCGACGACGCCGCGGCGCGCGGCCATCGCGGGGCTGCCCGGCTAGGGTGACATGTCCACCATCGGGCAATCGTCGTCGATCGATCACTCGAAGGTGCAGGACACGTTGAAGTCGCTTACACGACTTCAAAGACGCCCGCGAAGAAGGCGAGGTCCTGCGCGACGGCCGCGCCTATCGCCGCCACGAGGGCCGGGTCGAACGCGGCGAGGCGGTCGCGCGTGCGCTGCGCGTGCGCGTCGGTCTCGGCGAGGTGCGCCGGAGACAGGTACTCGACCTGCGCGCGTCGGCCGTTTCCGTCGGGGCGCCGCGTCCCCCCCCCCCGGCGCCGGTCGCGACGGCCGTGAGGTTGCGGCGGGCGCCCCAGCGCCGCGCCGTCCAGAACGCGGGGTCGGCGCTCGGCACGAGGTCCGGCAGGCGCGCCATGTCCGTCGCGCTGCCGTGGCGCAGGACCGCGGCGCGGCCGAGCGCGCCCGGCACCTCGAAGCCGCAGAAGCACCGGAGCGCGCGGAAGTGCTCGTTGACCCGCGCGCGCTGCTCGTCGCAGGGCAGCGCCTACCGGAGCGCGTCGGCGGCGACGTCGCTTCGTGTTCCCGGTCGAAAGCTCTCGAAAAACCGTCGCGGTCACCGGTTTGCGCCTGCTGCCGGGGCAGCTCGTGGGTCGCGTAGTGGAGGCGCTGGCGGTCCCGGTCGCCGCGGAGGGCCGCGGTCCGGCAGCTCGGGCAGACCATCTCGACGTTGAACGCGCCCAGCGACGACAGGACGCGCTCGACGGGGTCGCGCACGATGGCCACGACGCGGCCGCGGCCCAGCAGGAACGCCTCGACGGCGGCGTGCGTCGCCTCCGGCCGGTCCCGCGGGTCCGCGCCGCGGTTCCGCCAGCCGCCGGGTCCGTCGCCGAGCCACTCGAGCTTGCCTCCGGGCAGCGCGGTGTGCGCCGCGACGGAGCCGCACTTGGGCGGCACGCACAGCGCCACGGGCGCGCGCGCGCCGTCGACGACGCGCAGGCCGCTAAAGCCGCCGCCGGGAGGAAAGCTGAGGAACCACGACGACAGCTCGTGGTCGCCGAGGACGCTGTGGTTGCGCACGCGCTCGCGGCTACGCCGCGCCCAGGCGTCGGCGGCCGCGCGCGCCGCGGCGTCGACGTCTTGGGCCTCCGCGATTGTGATCGTGAACACCCACCACCGCCGCATCTTTACAATGTCATGCTTGCGAGAGCCATGCCGATGGGCTGCCTTGATGTTGATGTTTCCGCCCCCAACGACGATGGGGAGGCCGGCCGGAACGCAGGAAGCTGCCGAGGCGTGCAGCCCCGACGGCGCCTCGGCGTGCAGCCCCGACGCGGCCTCCGACGCGTCGCTCGTCGAGGCCGCGCTGGGCAGCCCCGCCGTCTTCGGGCTCTTCCGCGCCTTCTGCTGCGGGCCGGCGGCGCGGCCGCCGCGGGCCTGGGCCTTCGTCAACGCCTGGGCGCTGCTCGAGGAGTTGCGGTCGCTCCCGGAGCGCGGCGCGGGCGGCGGCCGCGAGGCCCGGGCCCGCGCGCAGCGCCGGTCGCTCCTCGAGCGCGACCTCGGCCGGTCGGCGCGGCTCCTCCGCGAGCTCTGGCCCGCGACGGCCGCGGCGGCGCGGCGGCCGGACGCGCGCGCGGGCCTCGACGACGGCGCGGACCGCGCCGCGCTGCGCGCCGCCGTCCGCCGGCGGCGCCCGCGCGCGCGCGCCGTCGTTACGCACCCGCCCGCGCGCCCTAGGTCGCGGCCGCGCTCGTCGACCTCCTCGGCCAGTGGGCGGCGGCGCCGCCGCCGCCGCGCGCGGGCCGCGAGCGCGCGCCGTTCTTCGGCTTCGGTAGTCGCGCCATGCGGTGCGCGCGCGTCGCGCTCCACCTCGCCTACGTGCGCACGGAGCCCCTCGAGGTGTCGACCTGTGTGGAAATCAAATATTCAACCCGACTTCAATGTAAGCGTATGCGACGGTTTCGACGCGAGCTCTTCTTCTATGCTTCGAGAACTCGACGAGAGCAATCGATTTGTCCAAAAATCAGCCGAAACGACGTCGATTTGACCGAGATAGAGAGTTCTGAAGTTTGGCCCCGACGTCCCAGCTCACTGGTTGATTTCCACACAGGTGTCGACGCGGGACCTCGCGATCAACGGCTGCGCGCTCGCGGCCGTCGCCTGGGCCGCGCGGCGCGTCGCCGGCGCGGCGACCGTCGCGCTCGCGGCGTTCGCGCTCCAGGCCGCCGTCGTCGCCGCGCGGCCCAACTACCTCGGCGTGTCCCTCGTCTGGTCCGGGGCAGGAAAAGAGAGCGACATGCCCAACTTCAAAGGCTCCGATCTCGGCCGTTTTCCACTCGTCTTGGCTCATTTTTGGACGAGCGATCTCTCGGAACGGTCTCGAAGCGTCGATGTTTTCCTTGAAACGCGCGCGCGCGAAACACTCACGTGGAAGCGACGTTGAATCACTCTTTTCCCGCCCAGGTCTGGTCCGCGCTCGCGGGCCTCGGCGCCGCGGCGCGCGCGTGGCCCGCCGTCGCCGCGGCCGCGGCCGCGAACGGCTGCTACGCGCTCGAGGCGCCCCTCGGCGGCTCGCGGCGCGAGACGCTCGCCGCGCACCTCGTCGCGTCCGCCGCCGCCGCCGCCGCGGGCGGCCGCGCGGCCGCGGCCGACGACCGGAGCCGCGCGGTCCTCGCCGCCGGCGGCGCGGCCTACGGCGCGCTCGCCGCCGCCGCCGCGGTCCTCTACGGCCGCTCCCGCCTCGCGTCGCGGCGCCGCGCGCGCGTCGCGCCGCTGCGGCGGCCCGGCGCGGCCTACGACTACGTCGTCGTCGGCGGCGGCGCCGCGGGCTGCGTCGCCGCGGAGCGGCTCTCGCGCGACGGCGAGTCGACCGTGCTCCTCGTCGAGGCCGGCGCGGCGCCCGACGAGCTCTTCTTCGACGTCCCCGCTCTGGCGAGACTCTCCGCGGCGTCCGTCGTCCTTCTCGCGCGCGCTCCGACGCCGCCACCGCCGCAGGCCATGCACGTCTACGGCACGCCGCACCACTGGGACCTGCGCACGGCGCCGGAGCCCGAGCTCGCGACGCGCGACGGCGCGCGCGGCCGCGAGCTCCTCCAGTGCCGCGGCAAGTGCCTCGGCGGGTGCAGCGCCGTCGGCTACACGCTCTACGCGCGGGGCCACCCGGCGGACTTCGACGGCTGGGGCGTACCGGGCTGGCGCTACGCGGACCTCGAGCCCGACTTCGCCGCCGTCGAGGCCCGGCTCCCGCTCCGGGCGCCGCGCCACCGGACCCGCGGCGGCGACGCCTTCGCGTCCGCCTGCGAAGCCGCGCTCGGCGCGCCGCGGGCCGACGGCGCGCGCGCGACGCCCGGAAACGGCTGCGGCCGGCCGCTCGTCACCGTCGACGGCCTCGGCCGCCGCGCGTCGCACGCGGACGCGTTCCTCGAGCGCCGCGCGAACCTCGACGTCGTCACGCGCGGCCCGGCGCCCCCGCGGCGCCCCCGCGGTCCGAGCGCGCGCCGCGCAGGGGCTGCCGGGCGACGCGGGTCATCCTCGACGACGCGAACGCGGCCGTCGCCGTCGAGGTCGCGTTCGACGGCCGCGCGGCGCGCGTCGCGGCGCGGCGCGAGGTCCTGCTCGCCGCGGGCGCGGTCCACTCGCCGCAGCTCCTCCTGCTCTCCGGCGTCGGCGACGCCGCGGCGCTCGCGAAGGTCGGCGTCGCGCCGCGGGTCCACCTCCCGAACGTCGGGCGGAACCTGCGGGACTTCGCGGGCACGGGGCTCGTCGTCCGCGCGCGAGACGACGGCTGGGACCGGCGGAGCCAGTCGCTCGCGGGCCTCGCGGCCTACGGCGCCGCGGGCGCGGGCCCGCTGAGCGCGACGTCGCAGGAGGTCCAGTGCTTCCACGGCGGCGGCGGCGGCGCGGCGCCCAAGTACGAGTTCTTCTACCAGGCCATGGCCTTCCCCTTCGCGCACCGGACGTCCTACGACGACCACGTCGCGGCCGTCCGCGCGGGCGCGCTGCCGCGGGCCTTCACGGTCCACTGCTGCCTGCTGAAGCCCCGGAGCGCCGGGGCCGTCACGCTCGCGTCGAACGACGCCTTCGCGCCGCCGACGATCGCCCATGGCTACCTCGCGGACCCGCGGGACCTCGCGGACCTCGTCGCCGCGCTGCGGCTCGCGCGCGCCGTCGTCGCGGCGACCGGCCTCTCGGGCGAGGAGGCCGAGCCGGGCGCGGCCGCGGCGAGCGACGGCGACCTCGAGGCCTACGTGCGCCGGTCGTTCTGCCACTTCGCGGGCTCCCTCGTGGGCACCTGCCGCATGGGCGACGACGCGGGCGCGGTCGTCGACGCGCGGCTCCGGGTCCGCGGCGCGGCGCGGCTCCGCGTCGTCGACGCGAGCGTCCTCCCGACGACGGTCAGCGGCCAGCCCCTCGGCGCCGTCTCCGCGGTCGCGCACCGCGCCGCGGGCCTCGTCCTCGAGGACCGCCGGGGGTGAGAGGTCCCGCCGGCGGGATACGGTAAAAAGACGGCAACCTGAACTCAACGTGCAGAGTGCAACATTTGAGGCGAAGCCGCGTGCACGCTCTCGATGGAATGAGAGGCTCTGCGACTATGCGTCGCTGGCAGCGCGCAGTCGTCCTGGCCTGCATCGCCGCGCCGTCCTCCGCGATGGGCGTCTCCAGCCGCCAGGCGCTGTCTCTCGCGGCAATTTCAACCGTGCAGCGCGCCGCCGCCGTGCCCATCGAGCCGGCCTTCTTCGGCACGCTGACGGGCATCCTCTTCTTCGACGCGCCGGCCAAGGCGGAGATCCCCAAGGGCCCGCTGCGTCCCAACCTGAAGACCATGGTCGTCTTCGACTCGTTCAACGAGACGCGGACGCGCGTGCCGACGGTCGCGCCCGTCGGGACGGCCGTGGCGGTGGACTACGCGCTGTTCCGCGGCGGCTTCGACGGGCGGCCGACGGAGCGCGGCGCGCTCGCCTTCACCGTCGGCGACGGCTCGGTGAACCCGGCCCTGGACGAGCTCGTGCGCACGCTCGGGCCCTCGACGCTGCGGCGGGCCACGGTGCCGGCGAGCTCGGACCTCGACCGCTCGGGCGACGCCTCGAAGCCGACGTACCTGCAGCTCGGCGTGCGCGTCGACGCGCCGGCGAAGACGTGCGCCGAGCGCGCGCCGAAGGAGCCGGTCCTCTGCCGCCCCGCGGCGGCGGCGCCGGCGACGGGGGGCGTCGCCCGGTAACGCGGAGCCCGCCGTTATCGCACCGTCGCGTTCGTGCCGTTGCCGCCGCGGTCGACGGCGGCGACGTCGCAGTACGTGTGGGGCAGGAGCCAGTTGTCGCAGAGGGGCGTGTAGGCGCCGCCCCACGCGGGGCCGTAGATGGCCTCGCAGCCGCCCGCGCGCGTCGCGGAGCTCTTGAGGTAGCAGTCGAGGAAGCCGCCGACGTACTGGTCCATGGACGGGTCGTCGGAGACGTCGTCGTGCGTGCAGCCCCGGAGGACGACGGCGGCCTTGTCGACGTAGCCGTCCGTCGCCGCGTAGAACGCCTCGAGGCTCGCCGGCGGCACGGTCGAATCGTCGGAGCCGCCGACGTAGAGGATGGGCACGCCGACGAAGGGCGCCGGGTCAGAGGCGCCGTCCCAGAAGGGCGCGACGGCCGCGGCCGCGCGGAAGGCCCGGCGGTCGCCCGCGTTGATGACCGTCGCGAGGCCGCCCATGGAGTGGCCGAGGGCGCCCGCGCCGTGGCTCCAGTCGACGGCCTTCCAGAGCCAGGCGTCGCTCGCGTTCCAGGCGCCCCGGTCCGCGGCGACGGAGACGACGCGGACCTGGTCCTCCCAGAACGACTCGCACCAGCCGTCGACGCCGCTCCTCGGCCCGACGACGATGTAGCCCGCGGCCGCGACCGTCGACGTGAGCACGTCGTACTCCTCGGGGAACGCGTCCATGCCGTGGGCGAAGGACACGAGGGGGTAGGTCGCGCCGGAGGCCACGTCCGACGGGTAGGACACGAAGGCGTCCTGGGCGCCGCCGCAGGTGAGGCCGCCGAGCGTGACGTAGGCCGTGGACACGCCGGGGGCGAACGCGGCGACGGCGGCGGCCGCACCCGGGGCCGCGGCGACCGCCGCGGCGAGCGCGGAAACACACTTCATTGTGCGATGAAAATGGGCTGCCCTTCTGATTGGCGTGCTTTCCCGTGGCAGTGAAGGTGACGTCATTCCCCCGCGCGCCGCCGCCGGCCCGCGAGGGCCCGCCCCCCGGACGTCCGCGACGACCGACGCGCCGCCCCCTTAGTCGCCCGCGCGGCCTAGTCGGCCTTCTTCGATGCTTTCTCCGCGGTCTTCGCGGCGGACGCGGCGAGGAGGACGAGCGCGGGCTCGACGGTCCAGGCGAGGTCGCCGGCGAAGTTGCCGAACCACTCGTGGAAGGGGTCGCGGGCGAAGGGGCCGAAGTAGGTGAGGGGGAAGACGGCGTAGCCGCAGAAGGCGACGCAGTTGAGGACCCAGACGCGGACGTCGAGGTCGTAGTCGGCCTTGCCCCGCTCCGCGAACGCGAGGAGCGCGGCGAGCGTCGCCTTGGACGTCGCGTCGTCGCAGACGAGCTTCGCCGCGCGCGCCTTGAGCGCCGCGCCGCGCGCCTCGGCGCCCTCGCCAGCCGTCGCCGAGGACCTCGGCCGCGAGGTCGCCGGAGCCGCCGAGGCCCGCGTCGCAGACGGCCTCCGCGTAGGCGCAGTGGCGGCCGCCGTCGTTTCCGTCGTGCTCGATGAGCGCGATGACGTTCGCGTTGTGCGTCCGGCCCCACTTGGCCAGCAGGTCCACGCGCATGGCCCAGAGCGCGACGGCTAATCCCACTTGCATCGCGAGGAGCGCGTGCTCGACCCACCAGCCCTCGGCCTGCTTGCACGAGTTGAGGAAGAGCACGAGGAAGGCGGGGGCGAGCGTGCATTTGAGGAACGCGAAGCAGAGGCCCACCCACGCGGCCTCGAGCCGCCGCGCGCCCGCGACGCGGACGACGTCGCTCGCCGACCGCGCCGCGGCCGCGCCGGCGCCGCGCGCCCGGGCGTAGGCGAGGGCCGCGCCGGGCAGGCCCAGCGCCCCGGGCACGTTGAAGACCACGGCGGCGAGCTGGAGCGGCGCGATGAGGTAGTTCATCGTCGACATGCCGTTGGCGTAGCGCCCGAACTGGTCGAAGCGCTCCGGCAGCGTGTCGCTGACGACGCAGAGCCCGTTGCGGGCGAGGCCCACCCACGTCTCGAGGGACATGGCAACCGACGGCGGGTGCGTGGGTTCGCGGACGGCGAGTGGCGCGCGACTGTGGCGCGGCCGAATTAGAGGCGTCGTTTGGCTTCAGCGATTGCCTGCGGGCCCTGCCATGTGGATGTTGCCGTGCCAAACGCGTGGCCATGAATCGGTCCATGATGGAGACAAGCGCTACCATGAGCTTCGATCCGGCGCTCTCCGCGTCGCGTCCCGGCTTGGCCGTCCTGCGCGCCGTCGCGGCCTTCGTCATGGCGCGGATCGTCGGCGTCCTGCGCCTCCTCCCCGGCTTGCACGGGCTGCACCTCGTGCCGCGGAAATGCGCGGAAATCGGCGGCGCCGGCGCCGCAAACGCCGCCGCCCGGCCGGAGGAGGACCGCCTCTCGGCGGCGACGGCGACGTTCACGGAGCTCGGCGACGACGGCGAGCTCGTCGACGGCCCGCGGTCGGCCTTCGAGCTCGCGAGCGGCGCGGCGCTCGACGGCGCCGCCGCCGGCTGCGCGGGCTTCGCGCCGCTCCTCGACTTTACCGTCGCCGGCGCGTCCGCCGTCGCCGTCGCGGCGGCCCAGTGGGACGACCCGGCCTTCTACGCGTCGTTCCTCGCGGACGCGGACCCGCACGTCGGCGACTGGGTCTGCGACCGGCGCGTCGTCGAGACGCGGCACCCGCTGGGCTTCGAGCCGCCGCGCTGGACGGGCGTCTCCGGGTCCATCCCGACGCGGAAGGCGCAGCGGCGGCGCGGCGAGGCGACGCGCGTCGCGGTCGTCGAGGAGAGTAGATTCGCGGATATTCCGTTCGCGGACGCGATCGTCGTCTGGACGCTCTGGGTCGCCGAGGCGTGCCCGGGCGGCGCGCGGGCGCGCGTCCTCTTCCGCGTCGTCTTCGGCGACGCCGTGCCGAGCTGGCTCCGGGGCGTCATCGCGGCGAAGACGCGGGGCGAGCTCGCGCTCGTCTACGGCGCCTGGGAAGCCGAGACGCGCCGCGCGGTCGCCGGCGGCGCGCCCGCGAGCCCCGCCGACGAGGCCTACGTCTTCCGCCCGCCGTCGCCCGTCGCGGCGCGCGAGGACACGCTCGGCCTCACGGACGACCAGCGGGCCTTCGTGCTCCGGCGGTCGCGGCCGTGAGTAAGACGACTAGGCCGCGCCGAGGGGCTCGCGCGCGCCGTCGGTCCCGCCCTCGGCGCCCTTGGGGGGCGCGAGGAGCGGGTCGGGCCACGAGTCCGCGCCCGCGGCGACGCGCGCGGCGTGGAGGCCCATGCGGCCGGCGACGAGCACGACCATGGCGAGCGCCGCGGACGACAGGGCCCAGGCGAGGGCCTCGGGCGCGCGGCCGCACTTGGCGCAGTGCGTCGCCGCCGTCGCGAGCGCCGCGAGGGGGAACGTGTAGGCCCAGTAGGCGCCGAGGATCTCCGGCCGCCGCAGGAAGACGGGCCCGACGCGGAGCACGACGACGAAGAGGAGGAACGCGAAGCCGAAGGCGCCGTCGCTCGCCGCGCCGCAGCCCATGGCGACGCTCGCCGCCGACGGCGGCGCCATGAGGAGGAAGAGCGACGGCTCGCCGCGGGCCGTCGCGTTCGCCTGGGCAGCAAAAGGGTGATTCAACGTCGCTTCAACGTGAGTGTTCCGCGCGCGCGCGTTCCGGAAAAAGCATCCACGCTTCGAGACCGTTCCGAGAGATGATCGCTCGTCCAAAAATCAGCTGAAACGAGTGGGAAACGACCGAGATCGGGAGCCTTTGAAGTTGGGAATTTCGCACCCTTTTCCTGCCCTGGCGTTCGCCTGGAGGATCGACGCGAAGCACAGGCCGTAGAAGACGACGCCCGGCCCCAGGGTCCAGGCCGCGAGGGGCGCGCCCCACTCGCGCTCGATGTCGAGGTCGACGGCGAGCGACGACAGCAGGGGCCAGCCCACCGTCGACAGGAGGTAGGGCCTGCGCGGGAGCCGCCGGGTGCGGGGCGCCCCGGCCGAACGTCGGAGCGCTCGAGCGCGCGTCGACGTCGCCGCGGCCGACTCGCGTTGAAGGAGAGATGCGCGCGTCCCGCCCGGGGTCGGGCGGCGTCGCGTGGTCGACGCCCGCGGGCTCGCCGCCGGGCCCGTCGTCGCCGACCCAGCGCGCGTAGGACCGCGCGCAGAGCGCGACCTGCAGCGCCAGCGCGAGGCCGTAGCACCAGCGGAAGAGGCGCGGCGACCAGGCCCGCGCGCCGTCCGGCGCGCCGAGGCAGAGCGCGACGAGCGCGACGTGCGGCACGAAGAAGAAGAAGCAGCGCCGCCGGTGGCGCCACTCGCGCAGGAGGAAGCGCCGGTGGAGCAGCGCCTTGGCCCCGAGGCACGCGACGAGGGCTATCCACGTCGCGAGCGCCGCGGCCCAGAGGACCCAGAGCGCCGCGCGGCCGCGCCGCGCGCCCCAGAAGCGGTCCGCGGCCAGGCCCTTGACGAGGACGCCGTTGCCCGCGAGGCCCAGCGCGACGCCAAAGACCTACCGGGGACGGACCGCTTCGCGGTTCCGGGCGAGCATCGTCGGAAGAGGCACGACCGTCGCGCGACGCTGCCGGTGCACCGTGTTCGGGAGCGTCGCGAGGCTTTTCGTCGCGCCTTCCGCCATCTCCGGAGCCGCTGCTAGTCCTTTTGCACAAAAGTGGCGCCCTCCGTCGCGCTCGAATGTTCGGCTGCCCCGACAATCGTCGCCGACGACTCCCTCATCCGAGTCGCGCGGCGCATCGCTGCCCTAAGGAGACGCTCTCTCTCTAGCGCATGAGGCGACGCACCCCGCCTACGCGCCCCGCCCACCTTGGATGCCCCTCAGATCATCGTCATCCGATGAATCCAAAACGGCATGCCTGCGGCACGGTCGGCCGAGAACTCGCTGCCCATTCGCTGCCCGGGCAGAGCATGGCGCGTCCCCGACTGCTCGTCTCCTGGTTGTGGATGGCCTCCGTGGGCGCCTGGCACGTGGAAGATCTCCGGGACGCGCTGCAGCGCTTCCTCGACGACCGCGCCGGCCCCTACGCCGCGTCGCTCGCCGTCGTCGGCGACGGCTACGAGGTCGCGGTGGCCGCCGGGGCGCGGCCCGGCGACGCCTTCGCGTTCGGGAGCGGCACGAAGCCCTTCGTCGCGGCGGCCGTCCTGAAGCTCGTCGAGGCGGGCGTCGTCGGCCTCGACGACGCCGCCGGGCCGTGGATCGACCCCGCGCTCGACGCGCTCGCGCCCGGGCAGCACAAGAGAGCGAAATTCCCAACTTCAAAGGCTCCGATCTCGGCCATTTTCCACTCGTTTCGGCTGATTTTTGGACGAGCGATCATCTCTCGGAACGGTCTCGACGCGCGGATGTGTTTTTCGTTACGCGCGCGCGCGGAACACTCACGTCGAAGAGACGTTGAATCACCCTTGTGCTGCCCAGGCTCGCGCCCGGCGCGACGTTCGAGGCGCTCTTCGGCGCCGCGGCGGCGGGGGTGACGCTGCGCATGCTCCTGGGCATGCGGTCCGGCGTCGCCGACTTTGACGTCGAGGCCTTCGACGCCGAGGTCCTCGCCGCGGGCGACGCCGTCCACGCGCCGGACGAGTTCGTCGCCTACGCGGCGACGGTCCGCGAGCCCTACGAGCGCCACTTCGTCTGCGCGCCCGGGTCCTGCGTCACCTACAGCTCGACGAACTACCAGCTGCTGGGCCTCGTCCTGCTCACGCACGCGCCTGTGTGGAATTCAACCACTGGTTTGGGTGGTCCTGACCAAACTTGAGAATTCTCTAGCTCGGTCAAGTCGAAGTCGATTCGGCTGATTTTTGGACGAATCGATTGCTCTCGTCGAGTTCTCGAAGCACAGCCGAAGAGCTTGTGTCAAAACGGTCGAATACGTTCACATTGAAGTCGGGTTGAATATTTGAATTCCACACAGGCACGCGCGCCTCGCGGACCCGGCCGCGACCTGGGAGTCCCTCGACGTCGGCCCCGGGGCCGCGAAAGGGCGCGGACCTTCCCGGCTTCAAAGGCGCCGATCTCGGCCGTGTGCTTCCCGCTCGTTTCGGCAGATGTTCGGACGAGCGCTCATCTCTCTCGGCGCGCTCTCGACGCGCGGACGCTGGTCCTCGAAGCGCGCGCGCGGAACGCCCGCGTCGAAGCGACGTCGGATCGCCCCTGTCCCGCCCAGGTCAAGCGCGCGCTCTTCGCGGGCGGCGGCGACCGCTTCGCGGACCTGCACTTCCTGGCGACGGGGCCCCTCGACGCCGGCGGCCTCGACGTCGCGGGCTCGTCGGGCGCCGGCAACGCGACGATCCTGAAGCAGGACGCGTCCATTTTGGGGTGGACGTGCGGCAACGTCGTCGCCACGGCGACGGCGGCCGCGCGGTTCTTCCACGACCTCCTCGTCGCGAAGACGCTCCTCAACGCGACGACGCTCGCGGAGGCCGAGACCTTCGCGCCCATCGACAACGGCTGGGGCGAGCGGGCGATCCAGTACGGCCTGGGCCTCATGATCCAGCAGACGAACGCGCGGGGGCCCTACCCGCCGAAGCTCGCCGACGACGGCGCCTACGTGGGCCACGGCGGCGACACCTACGGGTTCCTCTCCGAGCAGGGCTACTACCCGACGGCGGCCGCGACCATCGCGGTCGTGGCCAACGAGGACCAGCGGGGGAACTTCGTCAAGAACGCCCTCGCCTGCGGCGCCTACAGGGTCGTCGCGAACGTCACCATGGGCCGGGACGCGGCCGTGGACTGCGCGGTCTAGGGCGCGTCTCCGACCCGGGTAAACTCGCGGTGGACGCTCGCAACTCGCCTTCGTGGTGAAGCGGGCGCAGCCTCTATCATCGTTGCTTGCCCCGCGATGCAGCCCATCCCGCAGACGATGGGGCCGGCTCGAGCGTCTCCATCAAGGTAGGCCCGGTCACGAAAAATCGAAAGTCCCCAAATCGTCGGTTTAGTAGCCTAAACGCCTTCAATAGGTCCCATGAGGTCCCCGGAGGTCTCTGTTGGTCGGGAATCGCCGTCGGTGCGACCCTACTATGCCCCAAATAGCACCTTTTTTTCCGCGCGGTGACGGGCGCGCGGGCCCATCCGCGGCGGCCCGTAGATCGTCGCCATGATGATCCCCGCGGCTTAGGGCGTCGAATACCGTTGATATCCGTCGCCTTCGGCCGTCATGACCACCGGCGACACGTAGAACATGATTTATAAGAACCTGCTTTCGGGCCTCGCGAGGCCACCGTGGGCTCGTCCGCGACGGCCGTCTAGAGCGTCTTCATGGGCGCCTCCACGCCCTAGAGCGTCGAACATGGTTGACATCCGGCGCCGTTGACCACCGAGACCAACCTCGACACGTAGAATATGATGTAGATGGTCATACTCTTGCACCTCGCGAGGTGCCCGCGGAGTCGGCCGCGACGGCCATCTGGAGCGTCGGCACGCGGCTCCAGGCGGCCCGGGGCGTCGAATAGCATCGATACCCGACGCGCATCAACGCCGTCAACTATTTTGGCGCGTAGAACACGGTGTAGACGGTCCTCGTCGGCCTCGCGGATCCGCCTCGCGAGGCCGCTGTGGTGTCGCCCTTGGCGGCGATCTACCTCGTCGGCCCGCCGCCTCCGGCGACTAAATCCCTCGGTTTCCATCGATACCAGACGCGCTTGGAACTTCCTCGGCGCGTAGAACGTGTCCTCGTCGCCGAACGGGCGACGTCTCGCGAGGCTGCTGCGCGGTGGCGGATTCGTCCGCGACGGCCATGTAGATCTTCGAGGGGCGGTTAGCGCGGCGGCGAACGTCGACGACATGAGGACGATGAGGATGTACGTGAACGCGTCGCTGGCGAAGGCGGCGCGCAGGCCCTGACGTGACCCGCCACCCGTCCATGGGAGCCGCGACTGCCCCGCCTACGCCGGAGTTGTCCAACTCACGCAAGCACGGAGAGACAAGCTAAGACGCCCAGGAGAGGATCGCCTCCCCCGCGCGGAGCGCGGCGTCGTCGTCGGCGGCGGCGGGCGCGGGCGCCTCGGTTTCCGCCGGCGCGCTGCGGGCCGCGTAGGCGCGGGCGACGGCGGCGAGGGCCCCGTGGTGTCTATCGTCTTAGGTTGGGACTGGATGGTGTTCTAAAGGCTTCTGCCACGTGCCCCGGCGTGGCGGGGGGCGAGCCTGGGGCGAAGAGTGCAGACGTGTGCCCGCACAGGACAGGCCGACCTTGCCCAGCTCTCGCAGCTATCCCTGACGAAATCCAATGCCGCTGAGATACAGCTCACAGCCAAAACGCGCTCGTCCGGAATCCGGACCAGAATGCGGGGTAAATTTTGACCTTTGGCTCCGAGCCACCAAACTTTTGGAAACCTGAAAACCTCATCATTGCTACAGGGTTGATCTTCAATTGACGGCAGGCTGATCTTGGCCGTCTCGCGGGCCTCCGTTCCGGCCTTTCCGGGTGGCCAACGACCACGAGGCGCCCATACCCGCGTACTCTAGCGCCCCGCAGCCCATAGCGTACGCCCTTAATGCGCTAGATAGTCGGCGGATGGTCTGGGTTCAACGTCGAAGTTGCAGTGCAACAACACCAGGTTGAAGTTCGAACCTGAGCAAAATCCGGTCTGCGTGGCTAGATTTGCGTACCACCAGCCGAGGCTGCGTCGTGACGGCGTCGGAGAGCGAAACATTGCTCTGAGTTGACGCGATTCGCGCAAAAATCGGTCACCCATGCCCTCTCGACGACGGCGGTCACGAGCGGTGAGCGCGTACGTGCTTTGCGTCGAGTAGATCGTCGAGTTAGTGGCGATCCATTAAACCCGAGTATGATTGTGAACCCATAGGCGCTGCCGAATGCTTAAAAGAGCCCACTTTGGCCATGCTCGCGCGGACGAACCGTGCACCTCGTGCGGGACTCGTTCGACGTCTCGGGCTGCCTCGGGCAGGTCCGTGCGGTGGGGCACGGTCGCCGTGCGGGGCGCGGGCGGTCAAGCCGTCCTCACCGGTCCAGGACCCGAGCGCCTACACAATTTGAGCGGCGGCGAGCACGATCTTACACCGGAACACTGGCAGCCCCTCAGGTCGCCGATTTCAGCCAGATGCTGCCGACCGCCGATTCCGTCGCTGGAGCGGCCCGATCTCGACACGAACGTCGAGTTAGTGGCGATCCATTAAACCCGAGAAGGATTATGATGCTAGGAAGGTGTCCTGAAGAGGGCGGCCGCATCGACGGGGCTCAGGCAGTGCTGGCGCGCACGGCCGATCGCTGCAACTTGCTGTCAATTGAAGATCAACCCTGTACGAGCTGCGCCACAGCCTGATTGCGCTCCGTCAGGGGGTAGAGCCATCTTCTTGGTCGTGAGCGCATCGCACGGCGCATGGCTCGACGCAAGGTCGCCGACCTCCAGGCCCGGCTCGCGCGCGACGGCTTCGTGCACTACGCCGCGAGCGACGCCTGGTGCGAGGCCGCGGCGTCCGACGCGCGCGCGGCGCTCGACGCGGCCCTGGCGCCCGGCGCCTGGCTGCCCGAGTGCCTGCGCCCGCGCGTCGGCACGAACATCCGCACGCGGACGCGGCGCTGGGACGTCGCGGTCGACGCGTCCGCCGCGGTCGCGGCCGCGGTCGCGGCCGCGGCCGCGCCCGCCGCGGACCTCGCGGCCGTCGTCGGCGACGACGCGGCGCTCGTGCAGCTCAGCGTCGTCGCGAGCGACCCGGGCGCGCCGGCGCAGCAGGCGCACTGCGACACGGCCTTCTCGCCCGGGCCGCCGCTCTACACGTTCCTCGTGGCGCTGCAGGACGTGTCGGAAGGGATGGGGCCCACGAGCGTCTGGCCGGGGACGCACGCGGCGGCCTTCCACGCCAGGTCGCCCGCGGAGCGCGCGCGCCACCTCGCGCTCGAGGCGCCCGCGGGCGGCGGCGCCGCGCGCCGCGGCGACGCGCTCCTCTTCGACAGCCGCGTCTACCACGGCGGCGGCGCGAACGGCGAGGCGCGGCGCCTGCTCCTCTCCGCGACCTTCAAGAGCGCGGCGGCGCACGCGGGCGCGGACGCGGGCACGACGGACTCCCTCCTGCCCCACCTCGCGGGGCGCTGGACCCTGGGGGACTTCCTCGCGCGCGCCGCGTGACGCTCCGGCCGCGCGGGCCGCCGCTCGACGGGGAGCGCGCGGGAACGCTTACCAGTTCATCTTCGGCGCGAAGTTCGGCGGGAGCGCCGGCCCGTCGCCGCCGCGGGCGACGTCCGCGCGGAACTTGGACATGAGGGCGAAGAGCTTCGACGCGTCGCCCGCGCGCCCCGGCGCGGGCCGGCCGCCGCCCGGCGGCGCCTTGACCGGGTACGCGGGCTTGATGGGCGGCTGGGGCCCGTGCGCGCGGACGAGCAGGCCCGGCGCGGCCGGGCCGTCGCCCGCGTCCGCGCCGGTCTCGTAGGGCACGAAGCGCGGGCCGTCCGGCAGCCGGTCGAAGTGGAGGCCGTCCCGGCGCCGCGCGGGCGGCGGCGGCGGCGCCGCGGCGCCGGCGTCGCAGCACAGGGCCACGACGGACGCGAACTCGACGTCGGAGCCGCCGTCGTCGTCGGAGCTCGAGGACGCGTCGAGGGCCAGCGCCGCGGCCCGCGCGGCCGCGGCGCGGTTCGCGACGCCGGGGAGGACGCCGCCGTAGCGCGAGGGGTGCGCGCCCGCCGGCACGTAGCGGTCGCGCGAGAAGAACGCGAAGTCGTCGTCGTCCTCGGCGTCGTCGGCCACGCGGCACGAGTGGAAGACGCGCGCCTCGCCCTCGCCGTCGTCCGCCGCCGGCGGCGGCGGCGGCGGCGCGACCTCGGGGGACCAGGCCTCGACGTAGCCGACGTCGACGAAGCCGTCGTCGTCGACGTCGCCCGCGGCGACGTCGACGGGCGCGGCGCCGGAAGAAAACGTCGGCGCGGCCGACGCCAAATAGGCGCCGCGGTCCGCGTCGTCGTCGAGGGCCTCGAGCTCCTCCTCGAGGTCCGCGCCGTCGTCGACGAGCTCCGGCGGCCGCGCGGACCGCGCCTCGACGACGCCTCCGCGCTTCGTCGGCGCGGGGCCAAGGCTCCCGACGAACGCGATGGCCTCCTCGAAGGCCGCCGCCGCCGCCGCCTCGGCCTCGAGGCCGCCGCCGTCGCCGCCCGCGCCGACGCGGAGCAGGTCCGCGAGGCTCACGGCTTCTTCGTCGGCGGCGCTCTCCGCGACGCTCAGGACCTCGTCGCTCTCCGCGAGGCTCAGGACCTCGTCGCTGTCGTCGAGGCTCAGGACCTCGTCGCTGTCGTCGAGGCTCACGACCGACGCCGAGCCGTCCGAGTCCCGCGCCAGCGCGGCGGCGCCCTCGGGCGACATCACCGCGACCGGGCGCCGAGCCGCCCCAGCCCGAGATGGCAGCCCCGGGAGCGGTGCATGATGCCGCGGCGCCGAGGCCGAAGCTGCCCGCCCCCAGCGTTAGCTATGGCCGACGAGGAGGGCGCGCCCCCCCTCGCCGAGGTGGAGCCTGCGCTGGCCGACGCCGAGGCGGCGGCGGCGGCCGACGGCGGCGGCGACGCGGCCGAGGCCGCCGCCGTCGCCGCGCCCATGGACTTCGCCAAGGAGGCCGTGCCCGTGGCCATCCCGGCAAATTTTTTCAAGCAGGTGGAGATCGACCTCGAGGACGCGCGCGTGGGCCTCGCGGGCGTCACGACCCACGACGTGCCCCACGTCTCCGACGAGGTCATCCTCCAGGCCCTCCGCGAGCACAATTTGGTCCTCACGCTCACGCGCGGCGACGTTGACCGCCACGACGACGAGCTCGAGGCCGCGCGCGAGGAGTCGCGCCAGCTCCGGGCGCGCCTCGAGGCCGCCGAGGCGCGCATCGAGGCGCAGGCCGACGACCTCGCGGCGACGAAGGCGCGCGTGGCCGCGGCGGAGGAGAACGTCCAGGCGCTCCAGGACAAGGTCTCGGGCCTCGACGACCTCGAGGAGACGGTGAAGAGCCAGGGCCTGCGCCTCACGGCGCTCCACGAGACCCAGCAGGCCATGGGCGCCCGCTTCGACAAGCGCTTCGAGGCCGCCGAGGGCGCGCTGGCCCGCGTCGAGGGCCGCGTCGGCTCCGTCGAGGGCGCGGCGTCGCGGCTCGAGGGCCGCGTGGACAAGCTCAAGGAGGAGCTCCTCGTCCCCGCGCACAACGTCACGCTGCCCGCGGACCTCCAGGCCGAGGGCGAGGCCGGCGGCTCCGAGGACGACGTCGCCAAGCTCACGCACCTCCTCGGCGTCTTTCGCGACTCGCTCGAGGCGCACGAGGCGGCCGTCGAGCGCCAGCGCAAGATGCTCGAGGAGCACGCCGAGGCCATCGACGGCAAGGCGTCCATCGACGTCGAGGACGCCGTGCGCGCCCACGCCGCGCACCTCGAGGGCGTCCAGAGCCGCATGGACGCGCGCGCCCGCGTCCATACCGCCGCTTCTCGGGGGCGCCCCGCGACGCTTCGGGACGCGCGAGCTCGGTCGACGTCGACGCGGCCGATGGTCGGACGCATCGACGGCGCCCGTCGCGCGCTCGACGCGCGATGCGACGCGCCGTCCGTTCGTTGAAGTTGACGTTTCCCCCAGGCGGACGCGGACTGCGACCTGCCGACGATGCTCGCGGACCTCAAGGCCGCGGAGTCGCAGCTTTTGGCGATCCTCGAGCAGCTCAAGTGCAAGGTGTCCTACGACGACGTCGACGTCCAGGTCGAGGGGCGCTACGCGGAGATTTTGAAGTACCTCCAGTCGACGCTCCGCGCGACGGAGGCGGACGACGACGACGTCCGCCGCGAGGCCGCGGAGCTCCGGCTCGCCCTCAACGAGATGCGCATGACCAAGGCGGACCGGGGCGACCTCGCCCAGCTCCGGGCCCAGGTCGCGACGCAGGTCGACGACGCCATGGGCGCGACGGAGATCGAGGAACTCCGGCGCGACTTGGACGCGCGGCCGCGGCGCGCGGAGCTCTTCGAGCTCCTCACGAACAAGGTGAGCTTCAGCGACCTCCAGCGGTCCATCGCCAAGCTCGAGCAGCGCGCGCCGCCGCCGCCGGCCGCCGCGCCGCCGCGCGACGACGACGACGCCTCGACGCTCAAGACGGCCGACACGGCCGACAAGAGCAAGCGCGCGCGCAAGCACGCGCAGCAGGTCCTCCGCGTGCCCCACGGGCCCGAGGACGCCGCGGCGACGGCGCGGGGCTACGGCGACTTCAAGCGGCCCGGCTCCGCGCCCCTGGACACGCTCCCGCCGCGCGCGTGCCTCTCGTGCGAGGCGCCCCTCGTCAACGCGGCCGCGAAGCTCAAGCACCAGACCAAGGTGCTCGGCGCGGGCTTCGCCGTCGGCGCCGCGCCCCTGGGCACGCTCGCGCCGCTGGAGCACGTGCCCGACGGCGGCCACGACGCGAGCCGGCCCCTCTACGTGTCCGCGATCCCGCCGCCGACGGTCGTGCCCGCGCCCGGCGCGCCGTCGCACGCGCCGCTGCCCCACGCGTCGAGGACCCTCAGCGACCGCGGCCTCGGCCAGACCCGCTTCTAGGCGCCGCCTGTCGCCTCTTATTACCGGCGCGCCCCCTAGGACGCCTCGAGGGGCGCCCAGGCCTCGAGGTCGTCGTCGGACTCGGACTCGGACTCGGCGCCGCGGCGGCCGTCGCCGCCGCCGCGCGGGCTCGACGGGAGCGACGACGGCTCGTCGTCGGCGGCGGCGTAGAGGTCGCCGTCGTCCTCGGCCTCCTCGAGGGCGAGAAAGCGGTCGAGCGCGTCGACCGCGGGCAGGAACCGCGGCGCGGCCTGTGTCGAAATCAAATCTTCAACCCGACTTCAATGTGCGCGTAATCGAACGGTTCGGACCAGACTCTTCGGCTCTGCTTCGAGAACTCGACGACAGCAATCGATTCGTCCAAAAATCAGCCGAATCGACTTCGATTTGACCGAGCTAGAGATTTCTGAAGTTTGGCCCCGACGTCCCAGCTCACTGGTTGATTTCCACACAGGGCGCGGCGGCGCCGTCGCGGTCGCGGAGCGCCGCGAGCGCGCGCGATGTCGCGACCGTGCGGCCGTCGCCCTCCGGCTCCGGGGGCGGCGGCGCGTCGAAGAGGGCGAGGCCGCGCGCCGCCGGCCGCGGCGCGCCGCGGCTCTCCGTCGGCGGGCCCCGGTCGACGAACAAACAACCCGCGTCCGCCAAATCGAGGAGGAGCGCGGCGACCTCCGGCGGCTCGAGCGCGGGCTTGCGGTCGCCCCTACTCTCCGCCAAATCCCGGGGCGTCGACGCGACGCGGTCCAGGCAGCGCAGGAAGACGACGCGGCGCAGCGCGCGGCGGAGCGGCCCGTGCGGCGCGCCCGACGGCGCGGTCCAGGGCTCGTGGTCGCCGGTGACGGCCTCGCGCCAGGCCCGCGCGCGCCGCGCCGCCGACGCGTCGCGCGGCCGCGGCGGCGCGGGCGAGAGCGCGGCGGTCCAGGCCGTCCAGCCGGGCCCGCGCGGCGCGCGGACGCGGACGCGCGGCGTCGCGAGGAGGTACGCCGCGTGGCCCCCGCGCGGCCGGTCGAGCACGTCGTCGCCCAACGCCGTCGCCAGCGCGCCCGGGTCGCCGCCGAGGACCGCGGCCCCCGCCGCGGCGCCGCGCGCCGCGGCCGCGTCCTCGAGGAACCGTAATCCGCCGCCGCCGCGGAGCGCCGCGGCCTCCGCGTCGAGCGCGTCGAGGAGCCGGCCCTCGGGCAGCGCGAGGCCGCCGGATGCGTCGCGCACGGCCCAGCCCCGCCGGAGCGCGCGGCTCGCCGCGGCGTCGCGCGCCGCGCGCGGGGGGTTTCCGAGCGCCGCGGCGAGCGCGGCGTCGCCGACGCCGCCCAAACCGGACCGCGCTCTCTCCACCAACACCCGGGCCAGTTTCCGCGCCAGGGGCGCCACGGGCGTGTTCTCGACGATGGCCGCCTCCGCGGCGCCGCGCGCGGGCCGCGCGGCGGCCGCGGCGCCGTCCGAGTCGGACCGCGGCCGCTTCGCCGCGGGCGCGCCCTGGCCTTGTCGGCGCCGGTAGGGCCGCTTGCCGCCGGCGGGAACCGGCGGCTTGGCCCGGCCCTTGGGCCGCGGCGCCGTGCGGAACGTGTGGTCCAGGCTCAGGCGCGCGGCGACGCTGAGGTCCGCGTAGCGCTCGCGGAAGCGGTCGAGCCGGTCGATGGACCACGCGCGGCCCGCGGCGACCGCGGGCCGCAGGGGCCGGCCGCCGCGGCCGGGCGCGGGCC